TCTTGATGTGATTGAACTATTGAATTATATGTTATGTGAATTATATGCCAATAAAACTGCTGGGAAAAAATAAAAATAGTAATAATAAAGCTAATTAATTTCAAAAACCTAAATATAGGACTTAATACTTAGTTCTTATGAAAGCAATATATTGCAATGACTAAACATTACTGAATTTGGAGACATAGTCTAAATTCAAATTCTGGCTCTGCCACTTACTAAGAGTATGATCTTGCTTACCTACTAAGGTTATTGTGAGTATAAAGAGGACTTTAAAACAGTACCTGGTCCATATTAAGAAGTATATAATTTTTCACTTAAGTTATTATTAATTTGGTTTTGCAACTCAGTTTGCTAGTTTCATTCCATGGTCCAAATATTCTCCACACCTTCCAGCTTGAAGACACTAACAATTTATAAATCTGATGGGCATATCTTCATCTACATCAGTTTCAACCTTCCTCATGCCGCAACCCTTTAATACAGGTTCCTTATGTTGTGCTGACCCCAACCATGACCCCTATGAAAGGGTTGTTCGACCTCCAAAGGGGTCGAGAGCACAGGTTGAGAACTGCTTATCTACACTGATGTTTAAATTGCTAGGCAATATATAATCAATAACATGTCCCCTGGAATGCCACTAAAAATGTTCTCTAGCTAATTATCAACCAACTAATCAGTATTACAATACCTGAGCAGGGACAGTGAATTATTTAATATATTTTTTCTAGCCAAAGTCTCTCACTCTCAAACAACCTTTCCCTGCATGGATCTGGTAAGACCAGGCATCCTCATACTACAGCCCGCGGGCCACATGCGGCCGGCTGAGGACATTTATCCGGCCCGCCGGGTGTTTTGCTCCGTTTATTTTTTTACTTCAAAATAAGTTATGTGCAGTGTGCATAGGAATTTGTTCATAGCTTTTTTAAAAACTATAGTCCGGCCCTCCAACAGGTCTGAGGGACAGTGAACTGGCCCCCTGTTTAAAAAGTTTGAGGACCCCTGGGTAAAACAGTCAGGGGGAGATCCTGATAAGATTCACCTGTGAGTTAACTGTGAGCAGGATTTCCTGGAATGGCATCCTGCTGTGTATAAAATGAGCCCTCTGAGAAGCAGCAGGGATCACATTACCAGCAAGATCCAGGAGTGGAGTTCATTCTCTGGACTCAAGATCCCTGCACAGTTAATCTCCTGGATCCAGATGACAGCAACACCATCAGAGGAACCAGCAGCAGAACCAGAGGCTAGCATGAAACAAAATGACAGACTTCTCAACCCACAGAGCAAGTTAAGATGAGTGCTTTTGTGCACTGGCTGGCTGAGTAGGATGCCTCTAGGCACTTAATTGGAAAGGATGGATTTGCTGACCCAAGGAAGTGAAGCTGAGTGCCACTGGCTGAGGCTTACTGTATTAGAGTGCCTCCTGGGCACTTAATTCAGGGAGCGGAGTTTGCTGACCCTGGGAGCTTGAGCTGAATACCTTTGGGTTGGGGCTTACCTTGGGTTGGTGTTATACCCTGGTGGGCATTTATTAGCAGATTTGAAACTTTGTGGCATTTCTGTTAAAGAACTACACTGAGCTTTTCTCACTGCCATTACAACTAGTTAACTTTCTTAATAAATCCTTTCAGCATTAATTTTGGCTGAGTTTCAGTGTAACCAATGCAATGGATATTAGAACCTACTGATATAGAACATTAATTAAGTCAGCACAACCTGCATGCAATTTTTCTTAGTTCTAAAGGCTGCCTCCAATTTTATATTCAGAGCACATGATAAAATGTTAAATACTCATTTTAGCACTTAAAACACATTGCATTTGCAATATACTCTTGACCCATCAAGAATGAACATACATCAAAGCGTTGTCTCTGAATAGTGATTTTTTTCATTTCTGCTTATCTTTGTTTGCTAATACTTCTATAATAAACTTGTACTGATTTTACAGCTTAAATAAAATCATAGTAAAGTTTTAAAAACTATTGTTATCACTAAGCATAATTTACTCTTTGTGAGTACAGACCAGCTTCTAGGAATCACTGTGCTCTCAATCTGTGTCCAACCAGTTTCAGATTTTTATCCGGTATCACTGTCAAAAGGCCCTTGACCTATAGGTACCTCCAGATAAAGCAAACAGAGGTATTGGGGAGATTATAATTTGACTCTATCTTCAAATATGTTCAGAATCTATTGTTTTCTGGCTATCCTCCACTATCTGAGTATGAGGCGAGATCCTCACTCCCCTGGACTACTGATTGCTGCAGCTTCCTAACTTGTCTCTTTACTTCTGCCATTGCCCACATTTCTTCTCCCTCCAGAGTTTACTCTCCCCTGGCAACCAAAGTACTGTTCTTACCGCACTTAAGATGTAAATTAGAAATTAGTCAGATCAGGTCACTTTGCTCAAAACTTACAGGTGATTTCCTATTGGACATAGAAGGACATACGTTCCCAAAGGTCTTACCCTGACCTTTGAAGCCCTGCACGACAAGGGTACAATTACTTTTTTTGCCTGTATCTCTTCTTGCTCTTTCCCTCCTCCCTCCCCATCCAGCCACACTAGCCTCCATGCAAGTGCTTGGATCTATTCAATCATGCACACACTTCAGGTCTTTGATGCCTACTACTGCTCAATGGGAACTGACTCAGTGATAATGGGCTTGGTGTTCTGATTCTTCTGCCAGGTTCATCACTTCTTTAAAATCTTGGTTTAAATCATGAACTTATCAGAAAGGTCCTTGATCATCTTATATAAAGTAGCAATCTTCCAACATTCTGGACCCTGCTACCCATCATTCTCTATTACTTCACTCTAATTTTTTTCTTCTTTAAAACTTACTTACTATATGATATTTTGTATTTAGTTACCATATATACTTGTGTATAAGCCAAGTTTTTCAGCACATTTTAAATGCAGTTTTTGTGGTAAAATTAGGTGCCTTGGCTTATATTTGGATCAGCTTATACTCAAGTATATATGGTATTTGTTCATATCTAGTTACTCATTTATTTTTATCTATTTCTACCCATTATAATATAATCCTTGAAGTTAGCAGTCCAAACCATAACCGCTATGCCACACAGGGCACCCTAGAATTTAATCCTTGAAGATTTAAAAAAATTTTTATTGAAATACTTTTAAGTGCAAGTTTATATGGTGAATTAGGTTCCCATTTAGCAGTGTTTGTACAAATTATTCTGTGGCACTGGCTACAATGTTGACATTGTGTCAGCAGTCTCATGATTCCCATTCTGTTCTTTCTGTTTCTGCTGATCTAGTTTCCCTGCCTTCCCTTGCCTTCTCCTCTTTGCTTTGGATAGATGCCAACCTTTTGGTCTCATATAGTCTATTGTTCAAGGAATACATTACTCGTGGGTGATATTGTTTATTTCATAATCTAATCTGTTGTTTGGCTGAACGTTGATTCCTAGGTTAAAAGGGTATCTTAAGTGATAGCCCCAAGGGTTCCTACAGTCTCCATCAGCCCATTAAGTCTGATCCTTATGAATGAGTTTGGATAACAAATTTTATCCCCCAATTTCATTAAATATATTTTTTAAACATTGGTAGTACCTCTGGGAACATCTATCAAGGTCATGTGGCAAAATACAGTGGAGTGTCATCTAAAAAAGCAACTACGGGTCTCTTCCTACCTGGAGCATAGGAGAACAAAGAAAAAAGCAGAATCATTGAAACAATACTTCAAAGAGCTAACAGCCCACACAAACCATTGCCTCCTCCAACCTGAGACCAGAAGAACTAGATGATGCCCAGTATTCCTTCTGACCAAAACCACAATAAAAAATGCCACTTCGGATGGGTAAAACATGTAGAACAAAACACAAATTAATAATAACAGCAAAAAAGGACAAGACTTACTGATTTGAAAGAGACTATAAGAACCCAAGACAATCTACTAACCTGAAACTAAAGGCATTCCCAGAGGCCATGTTTCAGAAAAATAATAGGACAATGAAACAAGCAACACCATCTGTGCAGAATGTCCTCCTTACAACAATCAAGTATGAGAACCCAAACAGGCAACATTTTCCAAAAACAGAAGATGAGAAGACAGAGAGGGGCAGGGAAGTTGGAAAGAGAAAAACAAGGAAACCAGGAAGGAAGCTGGAAGAGTGATGACACATCACAGGCTTGGGAACCAACGCTACACAAAAACGTATGTATAGTTATTGATTAGAAAACAAAAATGCTATACAGATATTCACCTAAAGCACAATGAAATGTTTTTGTTTGATTAGATTTCCCAATAATAAGAGACTAAAATACCATAAGAAAGAGAAATGAATATGGGTGAGCCAATGAAAATAGGACAAAAGTTTGCCACTTCCTCAAGAGTTCTGTACTACAACAGGATTGCTTTTTCATGCTCAGTGGCTCTCATGACGAGAACCTCATTCTGAGTTGCTTTACTTTCTCAGAAAGCCTTTCTATTATCCACTACCATCGGAGACCAAGACCACTAGGCCCCTCAACCACTTGCTGCTTAAGTTCCCCCTTCTCTATTGCCACTGTCTTAGTCAACAACAACCAATAAAATACATACAGCCAAAACAAAATCCAGACAGAGCCAAGGAAAATGAGCTAATTGTCAAAGCTTTTTAAATTTGCTTTAAAAAAAGTTCATTTACAACTCAATTTTAAACCTAGTTCTATCATTTACTACATGAGTGAATTTGGAGAAATGATTTAACCTCTCAAAGCTCATTTTCTTATGGTTGATAATAATAGCCCTTACCTTATAGGATAAGTGTAAATATTAAGGAAAATACTGTAAGTCAGAAAGGACTATACCTGGCATATATTAAGTAATATAGTATTAAAGTCTACTTCTTAAAGATTTATGAAAGGAATTTTACCCTCACTAGACTGGCTGTTTGGTTAAATGAGAAAACATGTAAAGTATTTAGCATTGTACAGAGGCTTCAGAAACCACCCAACTCTATCAGTGTACCCAGATTACATTGCATGATACACTTACCATTTAGGCAACATAAACTTTGCATGAATACTTCAGGCAGCTCCTTTGATCGTTATCTTGAACACAGTCAGTATCTTTTCAATAGCAGCTGCCTCTTGACCTGGATAGAATAGAAAGACATATGTAAAGCATGAATCATACCAAGACTGTGCCCACCCAAAGTCTGTCTCAGAGACTTTCACAGTGTAGTGTCAGAAAGATGACAAAGGAGAATCTGAGATCAGATTCTGATTGGCTAAGTTTTTTCAGGTAGAAGAGTTTGGCTACAAGAAGATTCCCTTTACTTATCAAACTGATGCGATCCCGAGGTAAGTGACATTGTCTTTCTTTAAATGAACAGGTCTACGTATTCTCCAACAGTCTACACATCTATAATCCTAACTTATACCTGGGAAGCATCTCAGAAAGAACCCGTTAAATGCCCGTGTTTTAAGGAAACTGAAGCTTGGAAAGAGTGAGTCACACAATAAGTTAGGGTAAAGCCAGGGTTCTACTAAAAATAAAATGCTCTTGGAAGATGGATAAGCAAAAAATAAAACTCTGGAGTATCTGCCATGCCCGAGGAATGATATTTTATGTTTTATACTAGACAATAACATGATGTTATCACTATTTCACAGATAAAGAATTTAAATTTCAAGAAGTGACTTATTCAAGGTCTTACAGCCAAGCTATAAGTGCCAGTCAAGATTTAAAGCCTGATCTGTCTGACTAAATAAGTATCTTCTCCATCATGTAGACTCTCCTTTGGTTACCTTCTAGAGTTGGTTCTCCAAGAAATATCACTTATTTTGAATAATAGATTTCTGTCCCCAAACTTACCCTCTTGGGTTTTTGTTTTACATTGTTTTTAAATTTTTATTGTGAATTGGGTGGTTTACAGAACAGTTCAATTTTTTATTCAACAATTCACAAAATTTTGTTTCATGTCATTGATTGCAATCCAAGCAATGTAGTATCACTATCCCACTTCCTCCCTGTATCATTTTTTCCCTAACCCTTTTGAACTTTGCCCTTGGGTAAATACTGTCCTTTTTTATCTCAAATGATTATTCTGAGGTGTACTTGCACCACAAGTGCTACTGTTCCCCTTAAAGATCCATCTTTTGTTTGGCTGAAAATTGAGCCTTGGAGGTGAGCTCATATCTAGACCTGTAGAGTGAGTAAGGGCCACCGTTTTGGGGGTCCCACCAATCCCTAGCCAAGCAGTAAAAACCTAGCCTATTTTATGATTTTGAGTTTTGCTCTACATTTTTCTCACACTCTATCCAGTGCTTTCTAATGTGATCCTTTTCACTGTTGGTCGTGGTAGACAGACACCATCTAATTCTTTTGGTCTCATAGTCATTGATGCCAATGTTTGCGTGGTTCATTAGCCTATTGCACAAACCACTTCCATGTGCCAATTTTCTTCCCTCTTCTTCCCCCTAGATAGGAGGCCACTCAACCTCTTGGTTTCTTAATGGGTAACCAGCCTATCTACAGGAGAGCTGAAAAAGCTACCAACCTCAACCCATCTGACCTTATATATAAGGTCTGGAGAGGGCCTCAAGAAGGATTATTGAAGACATAAGATCTGGGTCAAATTTCTTGTGTACCTTACTCTTGAAAAAAAAAAAAAGGAAAGGTAGCTTCAAGGTGGAGTGATTACTCATTGGGCTGCGATCTGCACAGTCAGCAGTGTAAAACTGCCATCGGCTCTGAGGGAGAAAGACTGGGCTTTCTATTGTTCCAATTTTAGTATATGTGCTGCCAAAGTGAGTACAAGACTGGGCTTTCTATTCATCAACAGTTACAGTCTCGGGAAATCCACCCGCAGTCCCTATAAATCAGCATTAACTTGATGGCAGTGAATTTGGTTTTTGGTATACTTAACTTTCTCCTTTCAACACAATTGCCCATCCTTTCCTATACCAAGGGCTATTGTCCCTTTGAATCATATTCCCACATCTCTAACAGCTGCAAAACACACATACATATACATTTTTATATGTATAAACTCTAACCCTGAATCTAGCTTCCTAGAGAGTTAGGTTAGAATGAAGATACAAAATAACATGACAGCTATTTTAAATGGCTCAAAAGATGAAACCTCAAGGCAGTAAAACATCAGGAAAATAATTATTGATAAGCAATGGAAACACCTAAGCTAAAAGTATAAAGAAGGATCTGCAAGATCTAAAAAGAATCCTTCTTAAAATCAGTATGGTTAGCAGTCCAGATAAACCTATACTCCCTGTAGCCTAAATTCTGGAACAGACACTATTGTATAAAACTCTAAGAAATTACTACGTAACCAGGTCTTTCTTCACTAAGTTCTCTACAGCCCTAAGAGTTGACAGTAGTAGCACCTCTGCTGAAAGCTACTGCTCCCGCATCCACCACTTACTGTCAAACCTGCTGGCATGTTTGTTACTAAGC